AGGAGGGGTGTCTCGATTCTCAGGAGAAATTAAAATCCACTAGCACTCTCTTGTGCTATCATTATAGCCCCATCAGGAATTAAACACGGGATCAATTAAGCCCTGACTATTGCACAATTCAATCAATATGGTATAGATTTCTTCTTCTCATCCATGAAGAATCTGATTATTCTTCAAAGCATGTGGGAGGGGAGAGATCTTAAAAGTACAAATCCCAAGGGGAAAATTGACACAGATCACTCTAATATAATAAGGAGAAAATAAAGAACATGGGGATATTTGAGAAGTTTTGGACTGTATCCCTCCCCCAATATATTATGTTTCTTTGTATAACTTTCAGATAAGAAGAAAGGTACTTGCTTATCGTACATACAATTCTTGTTCTGTACAGCAATACGATTAATTCTGGTAGCCAAAATGAAGGGTGAGATAACTTGAACCAAACATAAGATGAACCATTTTTTAGAAAATATCATTTGAAAAGAAGAGAAGGCTTGTTTTGTTTACTTAAAAACCAATGCAAGGTGAGCTGATTGTCGCAAAATGCAGAATTCTAATTCAACTCTGAGCAAGTCAGATTGTTGAATTCCTGATTTTCAGCCTTATCAATCATTTCTAAGGTGTGTATTGTATTGTTTATGAGGGTGGATGTACATACAGGGTAGATGTCTGCCGTCTCCAAACCATAAATGCCCACTCTAATCAAGCTCAGAATTGACAAATAAGAAAAGAAGAGGGAAGAAAGGGAGAATTTCACTCTATACTTTGAAGAAAAAAAACTTTGTGGGCAAAGCAATGAAAATCACCAGACTGGAAAAGCAGTGCTCAATTCTCTTCTACTTCTCGCTTTTGGGAACCGAACAAAAACACACCGCAGCCAGAGAGTACTTTTGAATGGAACCCCTCTTGTTCTCTCCAGCACAGAATTTTGATAAAAAGGGCAGTAAAAAGAGCCGTTGCCTCTCCTTCTTCCCATCCATCAAACACTTTTTCTTTTTTGTTTAAATATATCTTTTCAAGGATTATTGTACTGATTCATCTTAAAATTAGTCTAGGTGGGAGACCAATTCAGCACTTTGGTTCTAAAAATGATGATAAAAAATATTCGTAAATTTTGGACTTTCTCTATCTCTCTCTTCTTTTCTTTCAAGGAGAAACCTAAGCAGTAACTGGTCATTTTTCATTTATCAGTGAAGGGTAGATCATTTCCGTTGACATAGACTTTTGATATTCTTGCAATAAAGCAGAATGACCATATATTGATTAAAGGAACTTTTCTCTTCAAGGCAAATGACTACACATTGCTTTATTAGCTCTTGTCTGTTGGCTAAAAAGGGGAAATGGATGTCCTAACAAAAGAATTGCTTATATAAGAGGGAAACTGGGCAAATTAGGGGGGGGGAGTAAGTGCTGGACTCTCCACGAGATAGACCACCCTCATTCCTACTTTGCTTTAACAATGCAGCTTAAAATAAGCTTTCTTTTGATGCCTAAAGCAAATAAGGCAAGTGATCATAACCGGCCTTTTAAATCGAAATTACATCAAACTTATTGTATAATAATTTGTTGAAGAAAGTCCTCAAGGTGACTACAGATATGGAAACACTTGCGACCTTTTTTTAAACTTTGCAAAGGAAGTTACATTACTACTCTGACATGGATGAAATTAGGCAAATTACAATTAAATGGAAATTTGATTGTTACTTCACAAAGAAGATGGAAAAGATATACAGTGTTGGCCTTGGATGGATAAAGCTTTTGAAACCCTTGAACAAATAAAGGGTTTTTGGATCTTTAAACCGAGACATGATTCGGGGATTGAGAGAGCAGCATCAGACATTCAAACAACACCGAACGGAACTTTATGTACCTTGTCGGCTTGCAGCCTAGCCAGACAATTGATAAACCGCCTTTTTCAACCCATCCTTTTGTATCCCTTTGTTACCTCTCGAGATTTCATACTCCCACAAACTCGAGGCACACTGATAAATAATCCGAAATCTTTGGAGCTATCACCTCAAAATGCTTTTACAAATACAAATTCTTAATCAGCTATTCTTTTTTTGTTGAAGATAAGCTCTAAATCTGACAGCAAATATGTCTAGGCAGTTCTGTTTGAAGATTCAGCCATATCTTGATTTAGGCTGCTGCTGATGCGACAAGATGGCATGGTCATGAGAGCAGAAAGATGTTTTGAAGCTTAGAAAATTTAATGGGCATTCCTGTTTTTCTCCTCTTATTTGGCTCTAAACAGACATTGAAAGAAAACCTAGCTCTGTTCTTAGCACAGGATAATAGTTCAATAGGGGCTTAACTTAACAAACTATTCTCCATCTCCCCTGCTAAATGCCAGCTATTTATTTTTCCTATCTTAATCCCTACATAATTGGGTGTCCCGGAAGGATTTACTTTCATGGTGCAATAGTACACATGGATCTATTTGGAATCAATATTGACTTTTCATATCTCTTTGATTTTATGTGCACTTCAGATTTGAGAATTATTGTTGAATGGGGGTCCTGTACCTGTCATTTTGAAGTGATCAGTAAAGCTTGAAAAAGTTCCCGCTCCAACGAGGGAAATATCAAAGCTTTTGAGGATTCCTACCCTAATCCTTACTGTAAGACCTAAAAGATTGTTACTACCAATTTACCATCACAATATCATCAGCGCAAAAACATGAAGGAGCAAAGGAAAGGGAGGCCCATTATCTCTTCGATCACAAAAGAAGTTACGATCCTGTGCACACCGATGAACTTGAAATCCCTGTCTTTGTATTCTGACCTATCATGCATGCACTACGACTCACAAAAAATTCAAAACCAGGCAAAAATTAAAGGAAAATAAAACAGAGCTGCATGGATTTGATCTTTTGATGACCCTTTCTTCTCTTTTCCCACCCTTTTTTTCTTCGATTTTAGGATGGAAAGGGGACTATTGTTATAATTTTAGTTGGTGTTTCTGTAAATTCTGTCAATGAAGGGATAAAAATGAAATGAAGTGACAGGGATAACAGGTACAAGAGAAATATTTTGACAAGAGGATTTGTTATTTTGATATCCTGAATTGATCAAAGGTTGCCCGTGTTGGTTCAGATCGAACAACTTGATTTTCTTTACTGTGCAATATAGTTATTCTATTTGAGATTCTAAATAAATGTTTTTATGTTTTCACAACTTTACTTTCCTACATATTGGAGAAAGTGCCATGATTTATGAATAGGCAACAGAATAAACAAATACGATTATTAAACTACACATTTTTAAAGGTATGATCTGCAGAAGAATAAGGGCTGAAATACCCTTCATAACCATGGACATTATTTGAAATAAATCCATTAATACAGATCTCTTTTCTAATATATCCTAGACATAGACGTGCAGTCTATTCAGAAAGGATTATGCGATCCTAACAATAATTCAATTGAATCTGTGCTTTTCCTTACATCTAATTTGGATTATGGGAATTGGGAATGCTGTCTGTGATATTTTGTCACATAATCTTGTTATATGCCTGACTGATTGAGGAAGAAGGATCAATACCATTTTTGGCCTCGTTTCTTTCCTCTTCTTGGAGAACAAGTGCACATGTAAATTTAGAATCCAATCAATCCACCCACATTTAATAAACCTTAAAGATGTGCATCCAAAAGAAAAAATACAAAGCAACTTAGTTATAAAAGACATATTTTCATAAACATCCAGACTATGTTTAAATATATGAAAATGTGATTGCTTCTCACAATTTTTTCTTATGGTAAATAAATTGAGGTTAGAATTCTAAAGATCTGGTTTTTAAAGACTTGTTGCAAGAGTATTCTAATTTTTATTGATGGAGGAATATATTTCATCCCTCATATTCTTATAAGAAAGCTGAAGTACTGATCTGTTTTGGGGGTATTCTTTTCAAGGGAAACCAATAATTTCATTCCATAAAACTGGAGACAAGTATTGGGAGAGTATACATGTAGGCCTACATAATGTACACAAAAGAATTCTAAGATCCCTCTGAACAAAAAATAATGTCTGTATGATCAGTTATACCAAGGGTACCAAACTGATATGTAAACAATCAGAACTCTGATCTATGTCACCGTAATCAGCATGAAATATCAAATCAAAACTTGAACTCTTGACCCTGCCCACCCCATACCACCTCCAGAATTAACCAAACAAGCCGAAAGCAAATCGACAGCAGTGCTAGTACGTTGGAAAATCTTTGCTACTTGGACTTGGAATCACAAAACGAATCAGGCTTGTCATTCAGGCGCCCCACTGTCTCTTTGTTATCGGAGCATCAAAAAAAGAAGGTACAATACCGTAACACCTTCAAATGAAAGAAAGCCCATACCAACACCCAATGACTCTATGCCGATATAGGCTGGATGTTGAATTTCACTCTGGGAAAACTTGAGGAATTATTAGAAATATTGATGGTATGAGGCTTCCAAGTGCCAAATTCAAACACAGGTACAATTGGAAGAGTGCACACTACAACTCGATAGCGCTGTTGAGAAATGTTGAAATGTCCACACCTTTTTTTGTTGAATTGTGACAATTTCAGGTACTTCTGAAACAGGTCAGGCATTTAGCCAAACACTGTAAAAACTAGCTTTCTATGCATGGGAAAATGGAGAGTCAATATCAAATTAGTTGAAAGTCTGATAAAGGTTGACTTCATGAGAAGTTTCAGGTTGCTCTAGTTTTCGTCTAAATTTTGCCTAATCATGGATACCATACTGTTTAAAGAAGAATTATGGTGATATAACTACCTTATTCAATAACATTTACATGTACCCATTGCTATCATGTATTCCTCCCCAAAAGAATGTAAGAGCTTTAATCCTAGTTAAGCAACATAAAGAGCTGCATTCACATCATGGCTCCTACATGATTAACAGAGTCGCCAAACAATTTTCTCAAGTATTGCCTGATTACACAAGCACTTAAGACCCAACCCTGTTAATTAATCAATTGAAAATGCTCATCTCCCTTAAATTGTACTTTCACTAAAGATTTTACAAACCCAATTAAATGAAAACCCCTTCTAAATACCATCTTGACTGTTCCTTGATGAAACCACTAATATTTCCCCCAAAACGCCACACCCCCTTAAATAAAGGGACACCACAATGGAAAGTTACTGGTGCAATGATCATAATCCCAATCTTTTGGAACAATCTTATCTCAACCTCAATTTCAAGAGCAAAGACTCCACCCTAGACTTCTTAAGCTGCTCATCATAGACTAATCACGCAATGAAAAGAAAAGGCAGTTTGGGTCCTTAGCTTTTTAAATAAATTATTTATGCAATGAAAAGAAAAGGCAGTTTGGCTCCTTAGCTTTTTAATTAGAATTTGAAGAATCCATTTGGCCTATCCATAGTAAAGACCAGCTAAAGTTATTTCTATGGAAGGATCTTGTTCTTGTAGGGAAACTTGGTCTTTGTGAAACAGTCCCCAGAAGTCTACTTTATCTGCAAAGTACCCATGGTCTATAACCTTGGTCTATAAATGTTACTTGAATGAGTTGTATAAACGGTTTAAGGACTATTTGCTCACACCTAGATGTCCGAAGATCTATTTGCCAAAAACTTGAGAAGATACTTAGAGCAAGGTTGAACTAATATACTATTCTCAATGATAGCTGATATGATGTGCTCGATATCACAAAACATACAAGTACTCAAAAGGTCACATCCATGTATAACAAAACATTTGAGAAGTACATGTTCCAATTCATACCAATTCAACACTATAACACCCAAACAGCAACATGCATAAAAAAATGATCTACAGATACAAAAAGTTGTCAACTAATCCTCTTCTCTTTTCTTCTTATTAAAAAAAAAGACTTTGGGTTCATCTCCAAGCTTTTTAGTATTTCTATTTCATTTTACCATTTAAAATCCAACATAATTACATGTTGTGTAGTTCTTTGAGAGAAAGAAATCCCACAAAATGCTCTTTTATTGACATCTGAGAATCTTATAAATTAAAAGTCAAATTTGTATTATTCTTTGCTAAGTGATTCTTTTGGAAGCTATCAAACAAGTACCCAAGTCTATATATTCTATGACTCTTATTATCAAATAGGGACATCGCACAAATACGATTTGGAGAACTCCATGGTAGCTTCTCACGAAACCGTCGTAAGTACAAGTTCACTGACATCCCATTGAAAAGTGTGTTCTAAGTTTAACACACCTTTCAATGGTATGTCAGTGAACTTGTACTTATGACAGTTTCATGGAACGCTGCCCTGGGTGTGTAATAAGCTGACAATTTTTTGCAACTAACATCATTCACAGAGTCATCCACATGGAACTTACTTTGAGTGAAGTTGGTGATGGAGATGTTTCCAAGAGCGATGTTCATGATGTAGCCATACTGGGGTTGAGTGGTGATCACGTAGAGCAGGCTGCTGTCCACACTGTCCCGGTCCTCCGACATCAGGTACTTGTTGGTGATCATGAAGCCAAGCTCTCCGGTGCCAAGCAGGTCAAGAGTTGGGGCTCCACGGTTGACCACGATCTGGGGTGCGCCGTTGTCCACAGGAACGATCTCGATGGGGACCTGCTGCGGCTGGCGGGTTAGAGTGGTGATGTCTGGAAGGACATAGAACTCGTTGTGGGTGCCATCAGTCACGATGAAAGAGAAGGAGTCAGAGGTCTGCTCAGAGCCATCATGTTGGTAGCTGATCAGGTTCTCATTGATGTCGTGCATGGTAAACTCAGTGACAAGTTCAGTGTTGTTTCTCAAGATGTTGCCATGGATCGGGAGCTGAGTGATGGTGAAGCGGAGGGAAGTATCAGGAGTGTCTCTGTCATCTATGGCAAGCTCGAAGGGGGTGATGAGCTTGTTGTCGCCTTCCTGCAGACGGACAGTATCGTAGCGGACCACAGGTTCCTTGTTGTCGATATCGGTGAAAGAGATGCGGAAAGTACGGACGACAGTGTTGAAACCATCAGTAACCTCAAACTGGAAGCTGTCCATTCTAATTTCATCCTCTGCAGTGTGCACATAGTAGATCTTGCTGCCTGCAAGATCAAGCTGAGTGAAAGAGTTGATGGGCATGCCTGGATTGTCGGTGCTTTCCAGATGACCTTTGGTTGGAGCTCTGGTAATGGTGAAGAGGAGATCCTCATCAGGACTGTTCAGATCACTTGTGCTGATGATGCTCGTTGTCAAGGTAACCCTGCTTCCTTCCTGCATAGTTACACCAGCGTTGATGATGGATGGATGGACATTGTCGATATGGTCAACGGTCACATAGAAGTATCGGTCAATGAGTGGGTTGGTTCCATCAGTAATGTCAAACTTGATGAGGTCCCGACCACCAACATCACTAGTGTGTACATATCGGATGCGCTGGTTGTCAACTTCCCACTGGGTGAAGTTCATGCCAAGGGTAATGTTCTCGACTACAGAGCCATCAAACTTGCTCAGTCTCTGCAACAAACCATGCTCAGGTCCATAGCGAACAGTGTAGGTGAGGTTGGAATCAGGGGAGTCAAGATCTGTAGCCTTCAGGATTCGATTATTGATTATTCTGGTCTCTCCGATTTCAATGTCAATTCCATCGTTGATAGTAAGACGAGGAGTCTCATCATCTATGTCCAAAATTGAGACAAAGACTTCCTTAGTGACTTCATACTTTCCATCAGTAAGCAAGAGGGTGAAGGAATCTTCTGTTGTTTCAGAGTCATCATGAATGTACTTGATATCATTGCCATTTGCAATTTGATCCATGGTGAAGTTCAGGATTGGAATGTCGCCTTCAAGTCTGGTATATGTGATGGTACCATGCTGAGGTGGGGTCACAATGAAAAAGTGAAGCTCGTCAGCAGGGACGTCACCATCTTCAGCTCGGAGGAGAGGTTGATCAATGATTCGCTGCCCTCCCTCATCCACTGTTATCAAGCGAGCATAGACCTGGGGTTCCTCATCATTGACAGGGATGATATTGATAGGGAACAAGAAGTTGGGTGATTCGTTCACTCCATCTGTGCAACGGAATGTAAACTGGTCCTCCTCAGGCTCAACGCCCCGATGAATGCTCTGGACATAGTTGATGTGATTCAAACGCAGATCCTTGATGCTGAAGGCACTGATTGGCATACCACCACGAGATTTCTCAGAGCCCGGTGCAGGAGCGATGTTCTCGAGGTATCCAGTACTTGGGGCAACAACTATGGTGCACAAGATGTCATCGTCTTCGGTATCAATATCTGGAGCTTGGAGATGAGTCATGTTGATATTTCCTTTGCCTGATTCGTCAACGTAGAACTGGATGCCCATAGTAACATTGGGAGCAAGGTTATCAACTGGGAGGATGGTAACATAGACTTCTACTTGGGTGATCTGGTTTCCCCCTAGAATCCAGTCAGGAGACATGTCAGACAGGGTCAGGTTGAAGGAGTCTTCACGCTTGATAGGACCAATTTCACCTCCAGTGTGCACGTATCGAACAAGTCCATTGACAATGTCCTGTTGGGTGAAAACATCGGTTAAAGCACCATTGCTCTCAATCCTTCCCTCTCTTGGTTGTCTGTCTACTATGAAGCTGAGGAGGAGATCTTCAGTATCAGGATCAGAAGCACTTAAAATGTTAGATGTAATGAGGCTGAAGGAATTCTCCTGAACTTCCAGAAAAGAACCAATTGTGCCTGGTGGGAGATCTAGTGTTGGTGCTTCATCATCAATTGGAGATATGCTGACATGGATTACAATGGGCACAACATGGACACCATCTGTGATCTCCAGATGTACAGCATCATACAATTCTTCCTCATTACCGCTAACATATGTCACTACTCCTTGCTCAATGTCCAACAGAGTGAACTCATCACCTTTCTGAAGAGGAATACCATCTAAACTGACAACTCCAAATTGAGGGGGTTGTACAACTATAACTCGAATAGAGTTCCTATCTGTGTCTGGATCAATAGCATCAAGCATGGTATTGTCAATGACGGTGGTTCCTCGCTCGAACACCTTAACACCAGTATTGGTGATTGTTGGAGGTTGGTTATCGACTGGACGGAGCAGAATTACAAAACTGTGAGGAGTACCCATGTTTCCTTGAGTATCCTGGACAACAAATGAGAAGGAAATGGCACGTGGAGCAATTCCTAGTTCTGTGCTTGGTGGCCTGTATGATACTTTCATGTGGTTGATTTGAGCTTGAGTGAACATGTTGATTGGGACATCTGGTTCATCAGTAAGAACAATATCACCGACTGGAAGAAGATTATTTACATCAGAGTCAGCCAGAGGAGAGACAATGGTGTATTTCAAGTCCCTATCATTGCTATCCATATCAGTGAACCTCAGATTCTTCTTCAAGATTGGAGTAAGTTGAAATTCATCAACTGAGAGCTGTAGAGAAGTACCTTCAAACAATTCAGGAGGCTGCAAATCTTGTGGCATTACTTTTACCAGGAATTCCTGTACAGGCGATTCATTTGGCTGTGGATCTGAACTATCAACTACTCTGAAAAGGATCCTGTCGAAGACTGGGTTTTGGTTGTGACTGCCACCATGTCGGTAAAAGAGATGCCCATTCAGGATATCCTCAAGTGTAAATTCTGTGACTTCACGCTCATAAAAATTGTCCTGAGAAATCCAATTCTGGGGGTCAACTGGAATCTGAACTTGACGGAGAAACAAGCTACCCATATCAGATAGTGGCAGCTCAAGAACAAAGCGGATTTCAGTATCATCAGAATCGATGTCTGTTGCACTCAAGACAAATCCTGTGATAGGAACCTCGCCACCCTCATTCACTACCACTCCGGTGTTGACATCAACGATTGGTGACTCATCATCAATAGGGGCAATGATGATTGGAAAGAGGAATTCAACTTCATGCTGGCCATCAGTCATGCGGAAAATGATGTTGTCACTGTATGTGTCGGTTCCATAGTGGTGGTAGGTCACAGCACCTTCGATAAGGTCCCCGATAGTAAACTGCTTGATGCGCTGGCTTCCAATGCGAAGTTCACCATACCTTGACCCATTGATAGGAGCAATGATCACATCTTGAAGATTATCTTCATCAGAAATTCCAAGATTTTGGCCACCCAAAAGAGGACGTGACTGACCCTCAAATAGCACCAATCCTGTGTTGGTTGTTACAACCGGAGCAAGGGTATTCTTTGGCTTGACGACAATCGTGAGAGAGTGAGGCTCAGAGGTAGCCAGCTCAGAATCCACGATCTCGAACTCAATCTGGTAGAAGTTCTGGACATCTGTGTCCCTGGGAGGGGGCTTGTAGGCAATCTTCAGATCTTTCAAGTCCTTCTGGGTGAAAGAAGTGATAGGTTGGTTACGGTCATCCGTGCTCACAATCATGCCATCATCTGGTCCAAGGGTTTGAGAGGTGATGTTGAAGATGAGCATATCAGCAGGTGTTTCGACATCCTCAGCAGCCAAAATGGAAGGGGTAATGGCAGTCATCACAAACTGATCAACTTCCATCATCATGTCACTTGTGAGAACCAAACTGGGCGGGGTGTTTTCCTCTCCATTCTGGATCCTAACCATGCTCTGGAAGTATTCCTGCTTCACCACTTGTCCATCATCCAGGTTCTGGAGCTCTACGACGAGAGGAATGTAATCTTCACGGGGTGATGCTGTTGCTGCTGTATGACGGTACTGGATTCCAAGTGCCAAGAAATCATCACAATCGATCATTTGGCCTTGCTCGTCGTGGTTCATGACCATCCCATAGCGAGGAAGTCCTGAGCTTGAGCTCAGCACTGTCACCTTGCAGGCTTGGGTAGCACTGTCGTAATCAAACTGCAATTTATCTGCATCAAGAGCATCACTCAATCCCATGAGGTCCTGAACCTCAAGCGGCACGTTACGTGTAACAATCTCGAGCTGCTTGGATTCAACACGGACATCTATTGTGAAGGGGATGATGAAAGTGTCTGTATTTGTGTCATATCTCAGCTGCAATGTAACCTTATCGGTCTGGGGCTTACGAGAACCAAAGTGCACATACTTAACTTCACCAGGTCCGAAGTCACAGGGGAAATTTGATGGTACAAGTCGGCCTGGAATCTGAGAGAGAGGTTCACTCTGCTTGGGTAGCACCTTGATGGTACACAAATCACCTTCCTCAACATTTATAACCAGTTCCGTGTTGGGATCAATAGCTTTCTCTCGTCCAAACGGCACAGAAATTCCAGTATTTCGCACAATTATTCTGCTTTCCCTCGACGAATCGATGTCAATTCCACCAAGATTAGCTCCGCCGTTGACGGGGTTGACTGGTTCAACAGTTCTTACATCGCTGGTACCGAGAATCCACGTACCTTGTGCTGCTATCAAGCCGGGCAAGATAGCGGCAAGAAAACACAAGAAAGCCGAAGCCATGGTGAAGAAAACTGCCGCTGAACTTCAGAACAGTTCAATCGCTTTACAGCTCTCGATGAAACGCTTTAACGATAGAAAAAAAACTCACACCTGCGAGCCAACTCCAGTCACAAAAGTTTAGCAAGCAGACGCCGCATTCAGTCACACGTCCTAGCTGAGAGATAGCCTGAACAAGAGTGATGCGAAAGAGCGAGGGGAACGTAGACCAGGCGAAAAAGTACCAAGATGCATGCATGAAAGTTTGTGGGTAACACTATTGTACTCTAACTGGGTTAGCGCTGCACTGTGAGCATGCGTGCATAGCCCGTAGGCGTGGCTAATAAACTCCGCTAAAAGGTGATTGGTCCTCGAGGCATAAAGTTTCTTTGTGGGTCTACTACGTACACAGTCTAGTTATGTAGCACTTTATTCGTGCACGCACTGAGTACAACCAGTTATCAAGTAAACGATGAATGAAGAAAAAAAAGTGATTTGAAGGACCTGCAACACATCGAAGTTAACTGATCTAAATTGATCATGATAATGAAGAAATACATGAGTAGGGGCACATTTTATTGACTTGATCAGACAAGTGTAGGTTGAATTTTCTGTCATGAAATCCGTATAAGGTGAAAAGGGAGGAACTAAAATGCTCAAACCAGACGCGGTCACGAATTTTGTAGACATGAAGGTTTATATTATTCCCATTATTATTACTGCGGTTAGAGATTTACAACATTAATAGCGACTAATGTTTTCAGAAGAGGCATGCGTGTACTAAAGTAAAATATTCATATTCCTGTCGGATATTAAAAAGCAATTTTGTATCATTCTTGTTTTCTGTTTCCTCTTTTCTTTCACTTGAATTTTTTTTGTTTGTACTTTTCATTGCCTTGTTTTTTGTTTTTTCTTCCTTTTATTAATTAACATAAGTTTGATATAGTCTAGTATAGAGGATAGCGGTGTAAATCAATATTCTAGTGCAATTTTTCTTCTCCTTATTCTTCTTCTTCTTCTACTTCTTCTTCTACTTCTTCTTCTCCTTCTTTTTGTTCTTCTACTACTCCTTCTTCTCCTTCTTCTTCTTCTTTTTCTTTTTCTTCTCCTCCTTCTAGCCCTAGGCTCCTCCTCATTTTTATTTCCTTTTCTTCTTCTGCTGTAATTGTCGCTGCTACTTTTCTTTTTGAAGGCGTTACCACTCTCGCTAAAGCGTCAACAGGGGGCGTAATTCCATCAGTCAAAGCGATTCGATCATCCAGTCATGGATCATTGTGTTTTCAAACTTATGTAGCGAAGTCGATTTATTTTGAGAAAAAACACAAACAAAAAGAACAACAAAAATAAAAAAAGAAAAAGAAAAAAAGAAACAAAAACAAAACAAACACAAAACTAAATTCATCTTAACAAAACGATTTTAAGTCTAGTTTTGTTTTAAGTGATATGTTATACAAAATGGATCGAGTATTTAGACTGTGATCAAAATAATTAAGAAATTGTATAAAAGGTTTAATTATATATGACGACGACGACGGTGATGTTGATTGCTATGATGATGAAGATGATGACAATATGATTATTACAGTCATGAAGATGATGATGCTGATGATAAGGATGACGATGATGGTGGACCGTGATGGTGGTGATGATAAGAATGGTTATGAAAATGAAAAAATAATCATAATGACGTTAATTGTGTTGTAGATATTGCAATAAAATATCTTAAAAGCATTCTTTTTTTTTACGATAAAGGCTTATCTAATTGCAAAATCATATTTTTGAACATGTAGTACTGCAACAGAAGTTTTATGCAACGGTTTTGGAATAAAAGGAAATCTAGTGTTGTTTATCAACAGCAGAAACAACAAACAAACCATTATCTCTACAGAAGTCATTCACTCTTGTTTCAAAGAAAGAACTCACACCAGTGTATGGTTTGAAAACAGACATAAATAGTAATTAGTATTCTTCTACTCGTTTATTTTTGTTGTTTTCAAAGGAAATCCTATCGCCAGACATAATTATAAACCACAGTTATGCGTGGAATCTATGCTTTGATTCTTTTTTGTTTGTGATTGGTATACTACTTTACTAGATCATTAATTTTTCATTCGAAACAGTGAAGCTAATATCGCTTTCAAAATCTAAAACGACATTTAATTATTTTATGTTCATATGATTATGGATGTGCAAATCCTTTAAAAGCGCGATATTTCTTAAGACAAAAGTAGTAAATACATGGGAAAATAGTTTTCGAATAGATAGAAAGACATTATGTCTGTACATAGATATAGATTGGGTGACAAATTCATAATTAAATTGTTAACTAGAAAAGTAAATGAATAGAGAGAGAGAGAGAGAGAGAAAGAGAGAGAGAGAGAGAGAGAATATAATGAAATGAGACATAATTGTGATACGTATTTAAACATTAATTTTGGAATCACAATTCAAAGAATGTAATAAACAAGAGATGCAAAAATTAAATAAAGTATTAGAGGCTTTAAGGCAAAGTGCACATTGTATACTACGCAGTGTCTTATCTCTCTGCCCCCTTACTCAGTCCAGACTATTTCCTTCAGGACTGACAATATTCATAATCTAAATTACCCACGTACTGGCAGACTTTGCCGAATCACCGTCAATGATAATTTCCTTCAGAGAGGACAAACAGGACCTTTATTTTTTTACTTAAAGCCCTGCTCAAAGGTATGGTTTGAGTGCAGCAATGCATCTAAGGAAAATGTACATTTTGTAAATGCACTTTAATGTACTTTAATGTAAGAGAGAGAGAGAGAGAGTGGGGGAGGGGAGAGGAAAACTTTTTTACCAAAAAATAAATAGAGATAGAGAGAGGGTAGAGAGAGGGAGACAGACAGAGAGACAGATAGAGAGACAGATAGAGAGAGAGAGAGAGAATGAGAAAGAGAGAGAGAGAGAGAGAGGGTGAATGAGAGGAGGAAACAAGAAGAAGCAGAAAAAAGGAAATAAGAAGAGAATACATTATTATCAATCTAAATTCTCTATCAGATACCTGCAACAATATAAGCTGTTGCATAGCACTTACAAAATTGAAATATAACAAAAGTATAACCAATAAGTGTGGACAAATAAAGTCTTCAGTTGTATCTATAGCCTCGAATCTCCTTAGTTGTATCAATCTATGCTGTAAAGTTACCTTTTTTAAAATATAAATTCTTCTTCTCTAATATGGCCTATGATCTTACACATACCGAATAGATAAGATAGAATCATTTCTCCACACAAATGAATCTATCCATACCTCAACAAATTAATGAACATAATAATATTGTTATCGTTTTTTTGCTTGTGTGTTGTTGTTGTTGTCGTTGTTTTTTGGTTCTTTTTTTTTATTTTTAGAAAGGTTTGTGGCTCATTTTTATGACCAACTCTCAACTAAACTAAAAAAAAAACCTGAGCTTGTTCTATACAAAAACAGTTCAATCAATCACAACCATGTCAGTGGTTACCATATAGATAACGTTTTACCACAGCGTTTCATTCGCAAGGATTTGTTATTGTTTTTCCTGACATGTCTTTTTAAAAAATTTAAGTTTTTACTTGTTTATGCAACAACATGTGGTAACATTAGTCAGGGAGCAAAGGGAAATGATTGCAAGACATTTCCTGCGTAGGAGAAAGAAAAAAAAGGTCTTCCTATAAAACTTTATATCACGACTTAATCGAGGAAATGTAAATGACCTAGACAAGCCTATTGCGGCTATGCGTTTAACTTGTTTCAGGTCTACCTAGCAATGCACTGTATATTGAGGGGGATGCAGTATTGTCAGAAAGGAGGGGGTCGGCCCGTCGGGGATATTTCTTTTTAGATTTTGAGCAGGAATTATATTTTTGAATGTTCGCGGAATTATCTGTTTCAAAAGTCCCGCCAGTTTTCACTTGCTGGGGAGGGGGTCGGGGTGGTCCTCCTAATTAAGATTGAATATCAAAGCTTTGACAAATTATAATTCAAAAGTAGTGGGTACCTGGATAATTTGAATACAAAGGTGACCTTGTTTGTATGTATTTGGTCTGGGGAATGTGTTTTTTTTTTTGTGTGGGTTGAGTATTTTTTATAAAATAGCTTAAAATCCATCCAAAACAAAATAACTTATACATCATGTTTTTCCTTCGGTCTCGCCTCCCTCCCCAAATGTTATGTTACCGGTGAACATTTGCGTCAGTTGATATTCTTCTGATTGACGCTATATGTTATTTTGATTACGAAATCAACATTTTGACAACATACAGCACCTGGGCTATGCTGAGTGCCATAAGGGCATTGCCTCTGTGTTAAACATAATTAACGAGTTAAACGCCAGGTTGATTCCCAACGAATGAATGATCATTTATGTCCAACCAAAGTCGCCTACTGTAATTACATGATACAATATAGGCTTACGGTTGCACAGTGTGAGAGGGGAGGGGGTGGGGGATTAGGGCGTCCTGAAAAGGACTGCCGGTAATCTTTCTTTCTTGAGTGTGTGCGTAGTCCTGAAAAGGACTGTAGTTTGGTAATCTTTCTTGAGCTTATAGTTCTAAGTAGAACTATAGCGTCGTTCCGAACGGGTTAATCAGGAGACTAATTACATTTCTGGGGCACGTAAAATATCCAGGCTTTGATCCTTAGCATTCCCCTCCTTTAAATCAAACCATGAAAGAAGTCATTATAAAACATAATATGGGCGTGTACCCTGTCACACACAGTACCTCTACCCCCTCCTTTACAATTCATGTTCATGTTGGAGACTCGAAAACAATTCCCTGGGGGGGGGGGATGAACATATTTATACATGCATACATATTCGTGCATATTGATATTTATATAGCGCCTTTACATAAACAGTCTCAAAACGCTTCACATTATGGTAAAACAGGATAATTATTTTGCTTTCCAAGTGCATACACTGTAAATTGGTTGTGTAAAGCTGTGTAAGGTCATTCAAAAAAGTTGTGCACCACATGAACCAAACCTGGTTCATACAGTACACAACCTCGTTATCATGTTATCATCTGCATTATAACAAAATAAACATTTGCCCAAAAGACCTAATTGATTTGACTGGATTTTATATCATTAAATTTGTAGGGGGTTCTGTTTTGTTGAATCCTGAAAAATATTTTTATTTTCATAACCTATCATGCACGTGAATATGAATTGGAAAATCCATTAGCCCTTTAAACATAACCCCTATAACAAAAC